CGGTAGTCGGTCTGCTGCTCTGCTAGTCGGCGGTCGGTGGTCGGTCTGCTGGTCTGCTAGTTGGTCGGCCGGCGCGGCGTTCGGCCTGTTGGTTTGCCGGTCTGCTGGTCGGTCTGCTGGTCGGTGGTCGGTGGGGTCCTCGTTTGGTCGTTGAGGGAGTCAGTGGGTCTGCTTGTCGATCGGTGATTGTCGGTCTACTGGTCTGCTAGTCGGCGGTCGGTGGTCGGTCTGCTGGGCTACTGGTTGCTGGTCGGTCTACTGGTTGGTCTGCTGGTCGGCGGTCGGTGCGGTCGTCGTTTGGTCGTTCCGGCTGCGTCGCCGTTGTTGTCGAGTTGTACAAGTGCTCGTAGAACTCCGCGAAAACGTTCGCGATGTCTTGTCGCGTCGTGCACTTGCTGCCCTCTTTGTCTGTCATGCGGGTAATGAGAGTTCGTTTCCTTCGTGTTTTGAGACGCGGGATGCTCTTTAAATCTCTGAACTGCTCAAGTACGTTTGCTATATGGGCCCGTCGTCTCGTCCTCTTCTGTGCACGGATGTCTTGCTGTATACGTTTACTCAGCTGCTTGCGGGCGTGGTGGTCGTTATTTGGCGTCTGCTGCCGTTCAGTGAGTAGGTGGCCAGTCGTGCTGGTCCTCTGTCGGGTTGTTGGTTTGCTTGCGCACTGGCCGGGGTTGCACCGTCTCTGTCGCACCAAGATGAGTTTCCTGCGGTTGGCGGCAGCGGCTTCGACGATAATTCGCTGGATGTGTTCGCACAGTTCACTCGGGTCGGAAAGCAAGGTGTGCGGGCGTAAATGGGGCCTCTGCGGTCATGGTAAACTTGCGTGTTGGTGATAGTGCCGGTCGTTCGTCGTCGGTGCTGTCGCCGTTGCTGTCGTCGTTCGTCGTCACACCGTGGTCGTCCGCATATCATTGCGGTCGGTATCCGCATATCGACGGTAACAACCTAGTGGTCGGAGCCGAGGACGGTCCGGTTGTTGGCCTCTGCGTTGGTGCAGTGCCGGAGCATCGTGCGGTTCAGTACGTAGTCGACCTGCTTGTGATTGTCGCCGCTGCTATAAGTGATTTGCTTTTGCACTGGCTTGCGGGAAAAAAACATATTTGCAATAACACATCCCTCCTGGGCTGCCCAATGACGTAGCCACCTACTCCTCGAGGCTTGTTCCCCGAATCTATGGCGGCCAACATGTCTGGAAGTGGTGCTGTCGAAAATGTCGGCGGCGTCGTCTGCGTCTTCGGAGGTCATGGAAGACCCCACCTGTGCGTTTAAACCCCCTGCGAGTATCAAGTGATGTCGTGTCTTGGTGCTCTCTCTCTCTCTCTCTCTGAAGCTCGTGGATCATGTCGTACATGCGCTGCACGTGTGGGTCACTGTATCCCGAATGAAGAAAATATGCAACCACGAGTTGTAGTTGCTGCGTCCCTTTCTTCAGCGATACCGAGGCGAGTCTGGACGAAAGCGCTTGGAATCTCTGTATGTTTTTAACCCAACGTCGATGTATGATCAAAACAATTCCATGGCATGCTTGGTCATTACCAGGTCCGGCGAAGGCGTGCCCTTCCGAGGTTGTCCAGAACTCTTCGGCCGTTGTTCTCCACGTTTCGTTGATAAGGGCGAAATCCCAATGATCGGACTCGAACTCACTGATTATCTCGCTGACTCGGTCGTCTGTTGAAAGAGACCGGGCGTTTTTGTGAATGATTGTCATCTGTATGTGGTCGGTCTGCCCTGGTTGTTGTTGGTGCTGTGGAGGAGGAGGAGGAAAAAGGGGAGGATGGGAGGGAGAGGGCTGGTCGACGTTGCTGCTTGTCTGTGGTCGACGACGATTGGTGATGGACTTGCTGGTCGTCGCCGGTCGGTGCAGGTGGCGGTGGGCACTGCTGGTCGGTTGGGGTCGGTGTTGTTTGCTGTGATGTGGCTGTGTGGTTGTCGGTGGGCGCTGGTGGGCGTCGCTGGTTGGTTTGCGTCTGTGTTGCTTGTGGTGGCGTCGCTGGTAGGTCGAGTTCGGCGGAGTGTGTTGTGCGTGTGTGTGAAAAGGCGCGAGAAAAACTAGACATAAGGACACAATGTAGACACCATCCCCCGTTCGCGGCGTTCGAACGATAGCCAGGGTGGTTTGAGAGATACGTGACCGAACAGAAACATTGCATGTTCAGCCTTTCATCCCCAGCGACATTCAGGACCGAACCAAGCGGCAAGAGTTCGGATGCTGATACACTGTGCGTTCCCCATACCACACATGCTCCCCAAGGCGATATCTCCAAAACATGATAATTCATGTACGTAGACGTCCTTGTTGGGCCCCTTGACTACAACAAGAGCAGCTCCCGCGTGAGACTGCATCACGACATGTTCAATACTGGCGCGCTCGTCCGAAACATCTTTGCACATTACCAGAAAACCACGTTCTCTCATGGGGGCTCCCTTGAAAATCCCACTGGCCCTCTGGGCGTGGGTGGTTTAGAGAATTCTTGTCTTCTTTCTTCTAACAGTCCCTCCTTCCCCTGCAAGGAGGAGGGGTTGAATCACTGTTCCCATCAATGTACGCTTCCTCCCCTAGGCGACCGGCAGCCAACCAGGAACCATTATAACCCATGTTCACACACACACACCGTCCCTGACAAAAAAAACAATACAAAACGCACTCTGCCTCCACATTCGGAGCATGCGCGGCCAACCCGATGCGGCCCCCCCACCATCCCTGCTAAAAACAATACAGAATACACTTTGGGGCAAAGTCTTGCGTCATGTTCGTGAGGCCAGCGAGCACTTTGTATTGCTTTTGACCAGGACGGCGGGGGTGTCAGCATATTGCTTGCTGGGCGCAGGGCTACCATCCCTAACCAAAGGTCAGGTCAAGTCACGCCCGTGCGCCGGAAGGCGAGCCCATGAAGGGCGCAGGCGGTGGCAATCGGCAGCGTGCAATACACGCGCGCGCCACATTTAAGGAAAACAGTACGTGCGTCTAAAAAAGGGAGGACTCATTCACCTGGCCTATCGTTGTGATGGTGCGCTCGAGCGTGAAGCAGATATTTAGGTAGCAGTGTCAGACAGCAGGACGTTCGCACAATGTTTGCCCCTCTGTTGCTTTGGATCAAGACGCGGAGTGGAGAGAAGACATACTCCCTCACATGCACCTCGCGGCAAAATCTGGACCATGCGCGGCCGCCCCGCGATCACTGTCAAGTGGTTTTTGATAGGGGCTGCGGGGGTGGTGGCGGTTGGCCTGCTGTACGCAGGCCCACCAGACACAATGATGGGCATTGGTTGTCGACGAGGATCGTGGGGGACGACATGTTTCCCGATGTGTGCTGTCACGCGCGCAGGCGCACATGACACACTCTGCACGTGCCCCGAACGTGGCGCACCTGGCGCGGCAAGAATATGCGGCACACCTGGCGCACGCAGAGCACGTGGCGCATCTGGCGCACCAGGCGTGCCTGGCACGCTCGGGCCCCACGGGTGCCTGGCGCGCGTGGCGCGCCGCCTGGCATGCGCGAAGCACCTCGCCCCAGCGTCGCGCACATGGGGTCGGTGTTGGTTCCCAGTAGCTGCCCATCCAAAGACGGCCGCTGAACATGCTCAGGCTCGGGTGTTACTGATGTGTTGGGAGGACGGGTGGGAGTGAGCTAGACGGCTTGCTATCTAGGGGGTGTCTTGTTCCGCCCCGATACCTCCTCCCTTCGGCCTGGGAAAGGGGGGGGCGGGGCAGTTAAAGCGCCCAAGATGGCCCAAGATAGCTCTAAGGGGGCCTCCGAAAGCCCAAAATGGCATAGAAGATGCCCCAAGATAGCCGAACATGGTTCAAGCTAGCCTCCGACATGCCTCGATGACGCCCCAAGGCAGCCCCAAAACGGTTTCCAGTGCCCTTCGAGTCCTCCATGGACCCCCCCGAGCAACCAAAATGGTTCCAATACATGGGAAAACCCGTGTTTGTTGCCTTCTCACCGTTTCGCTTCAGATGGGCCCTGGAGGCCTGAAGATGGCCCTAAGACTGCCCAAGAGAGCCCACAGAGTGGCTCAAGAAAGCCCCAACACAGCTCCAAGAGCGCCCAAGAGCACCCCAAGAGTGCCCCAAGAGGGCCTCGAGACGTAGTGTTTCAGCCTCTGGGGCAGACCCCCCATAGAGCCATAAGAGGCCCCAAGCACGCCCCAAGATAGCACCCAAAAGGCCTCAATAATGCCCCAAGAGACTCCGCGAGGACCCTCTGAGACCCCCAAGATGGCTCCAAGAGACTTCCGAGGAAAACGTTTCCAAGGCGGTTGTTAGGCTGCAAACTTCTACACTGCCCTGATCAAGGCCACTCCCCTGGCGATCTGTTTCTGGCTGGGCTGGTGGGGATACTTTTTGTTCGCGAGCGACACGGAGCAACCGCGCGCCGTCAAAGAGAACCAATAGGGATACTTTTTGCTCGCGAGCGCAAGCGGGAGAGCCGCGCGCAGTCACAAGTCGAAAACTGGTGGGGATACGCGACGTGTCAAGAATTATTAGAAGATTGGGTTGCCAATGGGATCTGCGTCTACAGGGCCCCCCAAGTGACGGCCCTCGCTAATCCACAACAACGAACTATGCGGGCCACAATCCAGAAACCACCAGGAGTGGCACAGTGAGAAAAACAGAGAAAGACATGTACAACGGCAACTCTCACAAACAAGCACGTGCGAACCTTCTCCTCGAGTCAGCTCCCGCGACGGGTCCACGGCGCGCCAAAAAACATGTGTGGACAAGATGGGCTGAGGATGTGACAAAGTTGCAAGGATACAAGGGCACCCTTGCAACAGGCACTCCATCCTTAAGTGGACTTTCACTGCATGCCAGATCAAATTTGGCATGAAAGAAATGGGTCCTGAGAGACATGGGTCATGTATTCCGCGACATTACCTCGGACCAGCTCTTCATCCTGAATCGTCCTTTGACGGTCTCAAGGCCCGGGAAGGGCCCTGTGGAACGGAACCGGCGACAGACCTACAGGATCTGCTTCCCTCAGGATATGGTTGCTTCATGGCGAGAAGGTGCAGCCAGTTAGTCCCGATCGCACACTCCCCGCGTCCTGGTTCGCCAGGTCGCAGAATGCTCTTGCGGTCGTCGCCCGGTCGGCCGCAGATACCCCAGTGGACGTGCCTGGAATGAAGTCCTGGGCAGCGCGTTGCGAGCCCTGGTGCCCTCCTCCGCCTGCCAGCATCCCTGCTTGCACACAGCATGGCTGTCGCAAATGCCCGTCGTCTCGCATCAATGAGCAGAAGAAGAACGATGTTCCATTAACCTGGTTGCCACCAGGGACGCCTATTCCAGGGAGGCTGCCAAACTGATGCCCCTACGGTCCACGCCGTGCTACACGTGAACTTTCCAGCCGCCCTGGACAGGCGTCCCTGATGGCGGAACATCGTGATTTATGCGATTCTTCGTCCGCTATAATAAACGAGTTCCCTGATGCTGGCTCCACGGTGCTGCCATGGCCCCGCAAGCGCACACCGCCGCGCGCCCCTCCTGGGCATCTGTACCTGACTCCTCGGGCCCAGGACCCGAGAGAGCGTGGTGGAGAGGAGCACTGGCGCTCACGGCGGGGTCTCGGTGGCCGTGGCGCAGGCCGCGAACTGCCCCGAGAGGGACGCACAGTTTGAGGGCAGGTGTTGGGGCGGACGGCCCCCCACGCAAAGCCCCAAGAGGCACTCAGCCCACGCGGCCGCTCGCACGCGCTTCCACAAAGCCATGCGGTCACAGTCTTACCACATGAAGCCCTGGATAAGGAGCCCAGCGCCTTCACGGCCTCGGCTGGATCCAAATGCGCGAGGTGCGCCAGGGGAAGGCCGATAAAAGGATCCGAGAAAGAGCTGTTCGCGGCTGTCCTGGGGCTCTTTGTGGGAGCCGCTCTGAGGCCCCTCGAGGCTGTCTTGGGGCCTCTTGGGGCCGCCTCGGAGCCCTCTCGGCGCCCTTTTAGATCGTCTTGATGTCCTAGCTGCGGCTTTCTGAGACTGTGTTGACTTTGTTCTGGGCAGTCGCGGGCCCGACCGAGAGCCTTCGCAGAGACGTGTTGAGCCGCCTTGGAGCGATGCTTGGAACTTCGCCCATCATATGGGAAGATCCGACATTCAACAAACATCATGGTACACCGATGATTAATGCAACACATCATGTTAGCCAGCGTGGATCCCAAACAACAAGTTATAGCACTGTGGATGCGCAAGCCATGCTGCAATCATGCACCGTGGCGGAACGTCGGCAGCCCCCCAAAGCGCGGTGGACGGAAACGTGGCGGCAACGGGCGGCAACGTGGCGAAACCTCGGCGGATTCCCCTAAGCGCGATGGGTGGCAACGGGGCGGCAACGTGGCGGCACCTCGGCGGACCCCCCAAGCGCGGTGGGCGGCAACGAGGCGGCCACAGGCGGCACCGTGGCAAAACGTCGGCGCCCCCCGCAAGCGCGGTGGGCGGCAACGAGGCGGCAACGGGTGGCAACATCGCGAACCCTCGGTGGCAACGGGCGGAAACGTGGCGAAACCTCGGCGGACCCCCTGAGCGCGGTGGGCGGCAGCGAGGCGGCAACGGACAGCAACGTGGCGAAACCGTGGCGGGCCCATCCAAGTCCTTCGTGACCCAGGTACGAACCCCGAAGCGCAAGCTCTGCGCGTGGGTAAAGCATCCTGCATCTCCATGACCTCCTGGGAGCTTGCTGCTTGGAGCTTCCTTGGGAGTCTCGGGATCCTCTTCGGCCATCTGGGCACCCTCGCGGCCGTTTCGGCGGTCCTCGAGGTCGTCGTGGGGGTCGTTTGGGCTCGTGTTCGAATTCTCCATGCGCTTCCTCGGGCCGTACTGAGCACTCATCGGCCGTCCTGGGGCCCTGCTGGGCAGACGTGGAGCCAGGTGGGAATATCATGAGGCCCTCGTGGGCCGACTAGGGGTGATGTTCGGGGCTTCTCGGCACAGTGCTTCAAGAGCCTCATCTTGGAAACATCAGTGGGGACTCCTAGGGGAGTCATCGCACGAGGGGCCTTTTGAGATCGCTTTCACCCTCTTGGGCGCGTGTTGGGGCCGTCTTGGAGGCCTCTTGGGCCGTCATGGGGGCCTCCTGCGACGTCTTTGGGCCCATCGGACCAGGCTGACGGCGCTCTTGGGAGCCTCTTGGGCGGTCTTGGGGCGATCGCGGGGACCGAATGGCCCATCGTGGAACGTCAGAAACCCGAAAAGGCAATGAACCTAAAACTGCTCAATTATCGAACAAAACATCAATTACGTTTGCCTCGCTGTCTGCCGTCCGAGACCTCGCGAGGCCGTCTTGGGGGTGATTCAGGGCCCTCCTGGGCCACCTTGGCCGCTGTCTGATCACACTAAGAAGCGGTTTTGCCCCCCCCCCCCCCCTCCCTAAACAACGAGCCCAGCCCTGGCGCACACATACACACACACCACACATACACACACACACCACACACAAACACACACACAAACACACACGCACACATACACACACGCACATACAAACACGTGCACAGACACACATACACACGCACGCACGCACGCACACGCACACACACATTCATACACATATGCGGTCCAACTACACATCTCTCTCTCTCTCTCTCTCCCTCTCTTTCTCTTTATCTTTCTCTTTCTCTTTGTATGTATTGTTTTTTGTTTGTCTCTCTCTCTCTCTGTTTCTTTCTTTCTCTCTCTCTCTCTCTCTCTCTCTCTATATATATATATATATAGCACCACGCAATTGCGGATAAGAATGAGGGGGCGGGCGCCGATTGCTGTTGTAGAATCGGCGTGGGCCGGATCGGGGGAATGGGCGCATTGGTTTGGGAAAGCGCCTTCGTGCCATTCCGAATGGCACGAAGGCGCTTTCCCAAACCAATGCGAGCAAGCCCGCCGCAGGCGCCGATTTGCGTGCTCTGACAAGTTCAACGCGGGGGGGATCGCTGGTGGGCCACCCGGAACGAATTCAAAAACAGCCCGCCGCAGGCGCCGAAGTTTTGGCTTGTTCAGCGAACGTAGTTTGGGCCGCGGGTGGGCCGCGGGCTCTCCACCTCCACCTGGAAGGGATTCAAAAACAGCCCGCCGCAGGCGCCGAACATTTGGATTTGTACACTGAACGCGGTTTGGGTCGCAGGTTCTCCACCTGGAACGAATGCAGAAGATTTTGCTTGTTCAGTGAACGTAGTTTGGGTCGCGGGTGGGTCGCGGGTTCTCCACTTCCACCTGGAAGGGATTCAAAAACAGCCCGCCGCAAGCGCCGAAAAAATGGATTTGTACACTGAGCGCGGTTTGGGTCGCGGGTGGGTCGCACGTCTTCCACCTGGAACGAATGCAAAAGAAACCCGCCGCAGGCGAGAAAATTTTGGGTGGGTCGCGGGGTGGGTCGCGGGTGGGTCGCGGGTGGGTCGCGGTGGGTCGCGGGTGGGTCGCGGGTGGGTCGCGGGTGGGTCGCGGGGTGGGTCGCGGGTGGGTCTCGGGGTGGGTCGCCCGTGGGTCGCGGGTGGGTCGCCGATGCAAGGGAAACCCGCCGCAGGCGCCGAAGTTTTGACTTGTTCAGCGAACGTAGGTCTGGGTGGCGGGTGGGTCCTCCACCCCCACCTGGAAAGAATTCAAAAACAGCCCGCCGCAGGCGCCGAAAATCTTGATTTGTACACTGAACGCGGCTTGGGTCGCAAAGTTCTCCACCCGGAACGACTGCAAAAAAAACCCGCCGCAGGCGCCGAGGTTCTGGTTTTTTTCACTGAACGTAGTTTGGGTCGCCGGTGGGTCGCGGGCGGGTCGCGGGGTGGGTCGCGGGTGGGCCGCGGGTGGGTCGCTGGGTCTGTCGCGGGTGGGGCGCGGGGTGGGTCGCGGGTGGGCCGCGGGTAGGTCGCGGGGTGGGTCGCGGGTGGGTCGCGGGTGGGACAGCGACAATAACAAACAACAAGCCTCAACCACAACAACAACAACAACAACAACAACAACAACAACAACAACAGCAACAACAACAACAACAACAACAACAACAACAACAACAACAATCAGGAGGGGAGGGGCAAGAAGGAGGGAGGACGATGACTTGCGCTGCGAGTGCCGATCCAGCTTGCGCCATAGCTTGCGCCATGGCTTGCGCCAGCCACTCCAACACAGGTCAACAATAAGTTTCGCCATGGGTCGCGCAATAAACAGCGCCACGCACCACCCCCTTGAAAGAACATATCGTGGATACCCCCGCGGGTGTCACTTAAACAGGCTGCTGTCGGAGCAAAGAAGCTCGTCTGCCTGCACGAGGAGGCACCCACAGCACAAACCCACGGCCATGATGTGGTCCGGACGAAAAACCTCTTCGCGCTGTCGTTGCAAATTGCCCCTTACACATGACCCAAGCGAGTCTGGTGCCCGCGGTTCCTGTCGAAGCGCGCCGCCAAGAATGTGTGCACCACGAACGAAGAGCAAAGCGGAGGACGCTCCAAGGAGGGGAGGGGGGAAAGGAGGGGAGGAGGGAGAACGAGGAGGGACATGAACTGGTGTCAGAAATAAACTTCGTGGAGCCCTGAAAAGAAACGGGGTGTTGGGAGAGCGGGGCGGAAAGATAGTGATAAGTGCAACCGTGTCGAAAGGAGCGCGGGGATGTGGAGTGGATTGGGATGGAATGGACAAGAACATGGTCTCAGGAGGAGGAGCGGCAACGAGTGGAAAAGAGGAACCGGGAGGAGTGCGGAGGAGCGGGGGGCGCACGGAGGAATCTGGAGGAGGGACTGGGAATAATTTGGGGGAAATGCGGAATGCGAGCGGGAAGGGGTGGAGATTGTTGGCCCCCTCTCTCGCCGAAGGGCTGAGAGGGGGCAGCGCACGGCGACAGCGGGGCCACGACGGGCATGCATATGGGGCCACGACGGGCGCGAACGAGCGGGGGCCACGAAGGGCATTCGTACAAGGGGCCACAAAGGGCGACAGCGGGGCCACTGAGGGCAGCAAAGGGGCCACGAAGGGCAGCGAGAGGGCCACGAAGGGCGACAGCGGGGCTACGAGGGGCATGCGTATGAGGCCACGACGGGCGACTGCGAGCGGGGGCCACGAAGGGCATATAATGCGGGGCCACAATGGGCAGCGACGGGGCCACTGAGGGCCACGAAGGGCAGCGAGCGAAGGCGACCGCGGAACCAGTACGGGCAGCGAGGGG